ATTGTTAGACCATTCTTTATAAATGAGTCAGTAGCAAAGACTTTTATTTTGAAAGGGACCAAAACAAGGTTGAAATCAACAACATTATTTTTGCTTTCTTTCAACCAACACCTTGTAATGGTGCATTTCCACAACAGTGTCAGATCTGCACTCAGTGCCGCTGGCAACGCTACAACGCCACTGCTTTGGGTCATGTCAAATTTAGGGCAGAGCATGCCTCTGAAAACCATGTTTACACCCTGTTTGCATTTCATCTTTTAACGGCAATTGATTTTAGCCTGGCGTTTTAAGCTCGATATTTGCATAAAGTCTAGGAATGTCCAACATTTTTGACGCTCTTGGCCGCTTTCAGCGATTTCTCTGCCCCACTTTCAATCCCATAATGCACTGCATGAGCATTTAGGCTCAACTTCCATAGGAATTAATTGAAAACACTCACTACGTGCCAGTGAAAACGCACCGTAGGACGCGACCAACAACTACAACGAGCGGCGCTGTCATCAGAAATCACCCGTAACAGATGAAAGGATAGTACGACAAAGGTATCGCTTTCATCAGACGACATTCAAACTAATGTTTTATTGTGAATATGAGATGGAGCTGAAGAATGAATGCTGTATCAGATGCAGTTAATCACACTTGCACAGTGAATCTCTCTTTTAATACTCTACATAATACAATAAGCTTTTAACTTCAGTAAAGCAACTCTGCGTTCCTCTACATTCTAGTTCTAAAGTGATACTTTGAATTAGTAACAGAGGCTTGGGCTCATCTGTTAAACTGTCAACTTGAGATTAGAATCTGTGGTGGAAGGAAGTAGTTCCAAACACTTGTGCTGTCGAACTGTTGCTCTATATCAGCACAGCTGTGATTACAGAATATACACATCAGGTCATGTGCACTAACATCTAGTGCTTTATCTCTATTGCACGTGTTTGTCCTTTGTCTGACCAAAACAACAGCTCTCTGAAAAAGCTTCAAGCAAATGACCCTTATTGGGTTGTAATGTGGGAACGTCCATGCTTGTCCGATCACATTTCTGTTCTGCACCAACACCTTGTCACAATCATCCTCATTAACAGTAAACTTCTGTTTCTTGTCCCATTCCAATCTGCCTTAAAGCAATAGTTCTGTATTTATTTGTCACTTTATGAAACCATGTTAGTGCTGACTCATAAGTTAACATCTACATGCAGGGAACATCAGTATTGTAGGTACTCGCTATGAACAAATATTATTACAAATTATATGCAAATTAGAAGAAAAAAAACCTTGAGCAGAAGTGGCGGTGTACTACACCATCCATCAAAGTGTCATTTGTGATGGATTCATAGCAGAGGGGCTTTGCATTATTTAAATTGTACAATATTTGCATTTGTTTTTTTGGTCATGTTTTGCTGAGAAATATTGTCTTTCATGGATAAGCCTGTATGCAGTATTATGCAGATATCACAAAACAAAATGCCATCTGTGGTTGCCAGAATAATTCTGGAGAAAGAAAGAAAGAAAGAAAGAAAGAAAGAAAGAAAGTAAGAAAGATGCATCCTAATTTTCTCTACAACAATTCTGAATCGATTTTGAAAAATTTTAATTTGAATCATGAAACTCACTTATTGACAGATGGCTGATTTCAAATGCTCATGTGTGCTTTGTATGTGTTCGTTTTGATGCTCACTCACAGCTGCAGCTGTGCATAACTCTTTGTAAGTGGATAAATGCACTTGCATCACAAAATGCTTTTATGATGTGAAATTAATGTAAACACAGTTATTTCTTAAGGACAGGACGAAACATCTGAATTCAGTCGGATCGTGAGCTGCCTAAAGATCCCCACCACTATAGGTTTTCACCATGTAGCCTACTGTAAAAGGGAATTAACAGGTAGCATTTTTACATCGTTTACAGTTAAAATTATGATATTTTTTCATATCATCTAACTTTAACTTTTTCCTTCAAAATAGAAACAGCATTTTTTTGTACAATACAAATCTAAATAAATAACAACACACCCCTGACCCAATTTATTTGAATGAATTTATAGGCTACAAACACTTCTTCCTTAAACGGTATTAATTAAAATGTAATTCTTTTTTTTTTTTTTTAAATAAGTCAGATGTCTTAAATATCTTAAATTGTATTTTAAAAAATATTTAATTATATTAACCATTTGAAGAGTTCTTAAATTTGAGGATGGAAAGACAGAAGATGATTAAGCTAGATGTACTCTACTGAGTTAAAGGGACTCTGAGTGAAGTATGTGTGAGTGTAGTGGAGTGAAGCAACAGTAATTCCCCCTCCTCGCTCAAAGCATTCTGTAATCAGTCCACTCCAGCTCCACTCCCTGTTTTGCTGATAAGCAGCGTTAGGTTCCAAGGCCTTGTCGAATATGTGTCCCAGCCCGTCGTAGTGACGAAAAACAATCTGTGATACATGATGCACTTTGAGATTGTGTGAGTTTATTCTGGCATTAAATAGTGTTCGTTTTATTTCCTCAGGTATTGTAAGCATTGAATTTGATTGTGAAAACCCTGCTTGAACTCATTCCTGTCCTTTCTGATGTAGATGTCATTTGGTGTCAGCTTTCACTTCTGATGGTATACAGACGACTTCTTGGGAACTAAAGTACCCACAGAATTTGAATCTGAAACAACTTCAGATTGAAGTCTGGAGCTTACTAAATAAATGATGCACTCCGGCATGCACATGACAAGTAGACACACTTTAATGCTGAAAACTCAACCCGTCATTCACTGAGCTGCAGCCAGTATGATTTCCTGCCATCGTGGCAAAACCTTCTGCTGAAGGCTGGAAGGCATTTGTAATGAGTGGTTTTATCTGACTTGTTTTCTCCCTTTGTGCAAGAGCTTCTTGACATTTCTGATTGACTGAGCAACATAGATTTCCGTCTGTTGCTTCCCAAATATCTTTCCAGCAAATTGGACCATGTGAAGCGTGACAAAAAGCTTATAGTTCTGGGTTGTAATGCAGAACATAAAACAAAAAAAGAGACATGCCCTGTAATTGTTTGCTGTCACATACTCAGTTACAAGATTCAGTTACAGATCCCATTCAATGATTAATGTGGCGTTCTAAAGATTTCAACATTCATTTTTAACTCCCGAAGAACTTTTCGCCACTATTTTTATGGCATTGAATGACTTATTAAATGTAAGCAGATAAGATTTATTTTGATGTTTGTTCCCATAGAGAACCTGCAGAGGATTGCCTCATCAATAATGGAAGTCTTAAAACATGAGCGATACTCATCACTGTGGATTTGAGACTATTCCTATTCCCAGCTCAGCGGAGGTTCACCGAGGACAGTGTCCCCTGTTCCATGTTAGCAATATGGTCAGAGAGATAACTCTTGGAAAAAGCTTGTTTTATCCCTCCAGCGACAGCTGTGAAAACGCAATCATTCGAGTTTGAACTTTTGAAGGAGCCTTAAGGATCTCACACCAACAAGGCTGCATCTCTCTTTAAAGTGCGATGAATTATTGAAGTGTACAACTGAGAAAAGCATCTCACCCAATCAAGGGCAACCGAAAAGGAAAATCTGTTAAATTTGAAGTCTGAGGAAAAAGTCGGAATCTTTTTCCAGTTTTAGAGTCATTTGCCGAGATTGGAGAAAAGCTTCACATGCCAGCACAGGCTTTCTCTCTAAGAAGACATTAGATCAGAGGAACGGGGATGAACTTGGGGGTGAAGTGAAGTTTAAAAAAGGCTGTCAGAAAGTCTTGGCTAATTCTTTTTTTTCTCCTCCAGGAGTACACGATTGATGTGTTCTTCCGGCAAAGTTGGCGGGATGAGAGGCTGAAGTTTGATGGGCCTATGCAGGTTCTTCCACTTAACAACTTGCTCGCCAGCAAGATCTGGACTCCGGATACTTTCTTCCACAATGGCAAGAAGTCAGTAGCCCACAATATGACTACACCCAATAAACTCCTGCGGCTGGTAGACAACGGAACACTTCTCTACACAATGAGGTATGACTTGGTAGTCTCTATGATGGCCTTGATGCATGTTGAGCAACTTCACTTAATGTTTTGCACAGTTTCTGCTTCCAGTCTACGATGCAAGCAAGCGATCTAGTTTCGTCGCACCCATCAACCTGCAAACTATGCAACCAAATGGTGAACTTGTGTGTTATACAAGTATTCTCCTATCTGGCTTTGGGGTGAGGTTGTCAAACTGAAAACAAATTCTGCCTGATTTCTCCAGCCCTTTCAGATGAGCTGGCAGAGGCAGACTAATGCTTTCTTATCATTGGCGGGCTCCGGATGAACGGGACGATTGGGGAGGTGGCCCAGCCTGTGACCCAAACACCCCAAGTACTTGATGAATGAGTCAGGGAATTGAATTGTGACTAGCTTGGCCAGGAGCTGTCCAGAGCAATGCGTTCAGCTGCCATAGACAGAGTAGGCCAATTCCACCAGCCATTTTGACACAGCACCTGGGCTGCTCGTGCACAGTCACTATGAGAGATTGGTCATCTGTATCTCTGAGCTAGGATGGGTTTTATCTTTTCAAATCTTTTTAGCTTCATCCAGAATGTAATAAATGGCCATCAACCTACAGGAAAAAGGTACTACATCATCATATTATCGCTAATTTACCTGACCGCCATAACCTTGAGGTTTCCCATAACATAAAAAGAAAAAGCTTTTTCTCGAAAGTATGAGGAATAGAGATTCTTGAAGCGCTGCAGAAATGCTTGTGAGAAACTGCTATGTGCTTGAAAAGATTCCAAGATCTATGCTAGGGTTAGGGTCCCTTTTCATGCGCCCTATGAAACTGCATGCAATCGATTAAAACAGAAGTTCTTGCTGACTCTGCTGTGTTCGGAGTTTAACGGTAACACGTCTCATGCATTAAACATACATGAATTTCACATTTGCAATATGTACATAGCTTAAAAATATTCATGAAATCCTTTTACCCTGAGGTAAGAGACTGCACTTGCCGGGGAGCCAATAACGTAGCACAGTAACACTTGGTAATTCATCATACGCAATAGTCTGGATACATTGCATTTTAACCATGCGAGATACAGTAATGTGTCGAAAACGGCACTTTTAAAGATTATTTTCTCGTCACAAGTTAATACACTGCCTTTTCATGCGCCCTATGAAACTGCATGCAATCGATTAAAACAGAAGTTCTTGCTGACTCTGCTGTGTTCGGAGTTTAACGGTAACACGTCTCATGCATTAAACATACATGAATTTCACATTTGCAATATGTACATAGCTTAGAAATATTCATGAAATCCTTTTACCCTGAGGTAAGAGACTGCACTTGCCGGGGAGCCAATAACGTAGCACAGTAACACTTGGTAATTCATCATACGCAATAGTCTGGATACATTGCATTTTAACCATGCAAGATACAGTAATGTGTCGAAAACGGCACTTTTAAAGATTATTTTCTCGTCACAAGTTAATACACTGTTTTCTATTAGCACTTTTTCCCCTCACATAAGGTGTTAAATCTCAGCAAACATGAATTTAGTCACTTATTCTCTCCAGTCAATCTCCAGTCTGTCAACTCAAGCATTTGAATTACACGATACATAAGCTTTAATCAGAACTGCAAATCTAGGCATTTTCCAATTCCTAATAGTACTTGTCCACAGGGATTTTGGCGATAATGAAGGTTGCATATGAAATAGACCCTGTGTGGTGGCGCACTAGATATGGAAGGGCGATGCTGCTCCATTCTCTTCTAGGCCCTGTCTCATATGAATTCATTTAATATGGCTTCAGTGCTCCCCAGGCTAAGAATAACATTTGAATTTGGATGCTTTAATGAAGGCTTGTCACTCTCATTGTGTTTGCCCGCGGGGAAAGCATGTTGCAAAAAAGTTGTTAACTAGAGCTCCTAGGGATAAGAACGCTGATGTTTCCGGACCATTATGGGCAAGGACATAATTGCATTGTATAAGTGTTTGGTTTATTTGGCGATGTCTGTCACGCTTTTTCAGAATTTCAGAGAGGATAATTAACAAAAAAAAGTATTTGCTTTGATCTTAAGAGACGGTAATTGTCTCTGATTATCTTTTGCAAGTGAACGTAGCATGTAAATGTCCCAGCTAATTATTGGCCATTTTTTGTAGTTGCTCTTTTCTGCATTCAGTAAGTTATCTCCCAAACTTTTTTGTTATTTGGTTTGTGAATTAACCAAATTTTAATAAATAAACCATACACATTTACATTAATGCATTTGGCAGACACTTTTATCTAAAGTAACTTACATTGCATTCAAGGTTCATACATTCTATTTGTGCATGTGTTTACTGGGAATCAAACTATGACCATGCTGTTGCAAGCTCCATTTGTGACTGGTTGAGCTACAGGAATGCCCCCTTTCAGGCCTTCCAGCCTTTCCACTTTATCACCATGTTGTAAGAAAAGAATATGGCATCTTTGCTCCTTACGCGTTATCATAACATCTCACTATGTACTGTGTAGCACTTGCTAATGTTATAGTTTGAAAACTGGAAGTTTTTTTGATGCAGCTTTTAAAATGTCTCATCTTGTCATGTTTAGTGTAGCACATAGTAAAGCTTCACTTGTGTCTTTGTGTTGAGTTGTGAGAAAAGAAAGGGAAGCTAAATTATTAATCATGTGTTATTGCTTTTTTACTGCAGCAAGCCTGTTTTGGGCTCTTTGTCGTGGTAGTCTTTTCAAGTGAAGTCAGTGTCAACTCTTTTCTTTTTTTACACAGTCTACAATGTGTTTTCATGCATTAAAAAAGAGTCAGTCCAGGGTCATGCTGTAGAAAATGTGGAAAAGAGAATCTCAGTGACTTAAGGATTCATGATTTAATTATTTAAAACATATATATATACAGTGGGGCAAAAAAGTATTTAGTCAGCCACCAATTGTGCAAGTTCTCCCACTTAAAAAGATGAGAGAGGCCTGTAATTTTCATCATAGGTATACCTCAACAAAATTCAAGGGGGGCTGAATACTTTCCGTACCCACTGTATATATATATACTGTATATATATATTAGGGGTGTCAAAATTAACACGTTAATAACGGGTTAACGCAAACTCATTTTAACGGCGCTCATTTCATTAATGCACGATTAACGCAGCGCGCATTTCCTGTTTGACCCGTTGCCTAGCCCGTAGTAGCAGAGATGGATATGCTGACAGCGATTCAGAGAATTATGAATTTTTTTTTCAAAAAAGTGCCTAGCAACAATACATAACACATAATTGGACAACCCTTTTTTAGTTTTGGAGACTCGCAGGTACTGCCGCGCAAGGTTTTGCATCTGCTCTGTTCAACGAGCGTCTGAGAGGAGCAGCGCTTTTAGTTAAACCAGGGCTGCGTTTCCCAAAAGCATTGTAAGGTTAAGTTGATCATAGCTCCATTGGTTTCAAAGGGTGTACAATGTACTTAAGCTTACGATTAGGGGTGGAACGGTTCAACTTACTCACGGTTCGGTTTGTATCACGGTTTTAGAGTCACGGTTTCGGTATGGTTCGGTATGTGCTATGTTTAGGGAAAAACTATACTGTCAAATAAAAATAAAGAAAATAAGAATAATCTACAAGCAACAGCACAAATAAATACAATAGAGTAAAGATACAAATAAAATAAACAGTGATTTTCCGTTTTTTTTTTTTTTTGGTAGGTCTAACATTAGTTTTTAGGTACAGAAATTGAATAAAGTAATGAAATGTAAAACAGCATTGCATATTTGACTGTATAAATTAAAGATTAATCTTTATTAAAGTTACAAAAGCTATTCAAACAAGGGCAGTGAGTGATTTCTTTGTTGTTGCTGTTTGATTAATATTAAGAAAGTGCTCTCACTTTAAGACACTGTAAGTACGTTCAGCCGGCTATGTCTGCTATAGGATACTTACCAAGACGGGCATTTTGACATAATCTTTGTGTGAATTTGTCAATTTAAACACAATACTTCAGAGAGAGCTTAATATTTGCACGGGTTCTGAGGCGCTTCGGATGAGTGCACGCACAAAACTTCTCAATGTGCGCACGAGTTCACGTCCTCTGGCTCTTAAATGTTTAAACTGGCAAGGCCTGATAAATGAGTTCAGTTTAAACACCGATATCAACGTGTGTACATGCAAGTATAGTCGAAATCACAACACAGCTATTGTCTTTATCTTATGTGTATTTGATTTCATCAGACGACGGCTCGATTATAAAATCAGGATTTTTGTGCAGATTAACATCTTGGAAGACAGAGCTGGTGTAATCTTAATGGGTCATGTTTCAGTCACTATTTCATGTTAATTCGGTTGTCTGACAACAGAAACAGTCAAATATAACAATGAAAACATTTTTATTGAGAATTTGGCTACATCAAATTACAGAGGGCACAGAGAGGCAAACAAATGTAATAATAAATAATAAAGGTACATTTAGCATGTTCAGAAGTGAGCTGTCCTGTCCTGCTAATAATGTAAACAGGCTTGTGTAAGTTAATTGCTCAGTGCAAAGAAAGAGAAGTAATGGGAACCTGGTATTTCTATGTTCTTTTTTCATGTGTCTAATAGACATGAACAAGAAAAACATCTATGACCTATGAAACATGTCTAGTCTTCATGCTCTGTTGAGTATGGTTTCACTAATACTAAACATACATTTGCATAAAGCATCCATATTTGTCCATGGCCATGTTGATTAGAGTTTTAAAAACTCTATTAAAATTAATAAAAGTATTAATTTAATAAAAAGTATTAAGTGTAATTTAAGGTACACTTAGAACAGATCAAAATGTGTGATTAAGTTGCGATTAATCACATTTTAACTCATGACAATCATGCAGTTAATCGTGATTAAATATTTTAATCGATTGACAGCCCTAATATATATATATATATATATATATATATATATATATATATATATATATATATATAATGTATGTAAAATAGTGCTGTCAAAATCAGCACATTAATGCAAAATTCAAATAACTATTAGGCTAAGTAATAAAATAAATAACGAGAATTCACTGACCAAAATCAGCTTGAAAATGCTAACAAAGATGGATCGGTAATTTTTTTTACTCTTTTATTTCATCAGTCAGTCATGGAAGTCTGGTGGTAGATGGGCTTCTGGCAACATCAA